TGGCGTCCCGCCGGGAGTGCGGTGCTGGCCCGGCCTCCTAGTGTGCTCTTGTGAGTCTCGTCCCATCTGCTCCGGCTACAGGGCCCTTCCCCGGGCAGCTCCGGGGCGAGCGGTACCCTGCCCAGGTGTGACCTAGGGAGGCGTCTCCAGAGCAAACTGGAGGCTGTTGGGGACAGAGACTGGTTTGGTTCGACCTAGAAGATCCCTTTCCAGTTAGTGAAATCAGTTTTCTTTCTTTAGGCCTGCCATTACAATAAAGCAGCTTTTCAATCAATAGGGTAGTTCCCTCTGCTGTGAGAGAGTGGTCTGATGGTGCTTGTTTTAACATGGCTTTTATCTTCTACTTAGATTCTCCAAGTATCATGGATATTTCAATAACCTCAGAGGCAGAAGAGAAAAAACCAAATGTTAATAACGTGCCAGACTATGTCAGTGATATCCACACATACCTTAGGGAAATGGAGGTGAGCTGCTCTCTCTTTTTTTTTTTTATTCGTGTGCAGCTAATGGGGGAGAGATTCAAGGTTGAGAAATGCATCTAAACATTAGTCACTACTACAGAGACTAAATTAAAGCTTGCTAGAAATGGAGGAATAAGGTGCTGTGTCCACTGCTGTGAATATGAGATTAGTTTCTTGTGATCAAGTTGATTGTGCCATGCACTGAACAGAAGTTGGAAAGCCACGTTATGGAAATGTAACATACTGAGCCTAGGCTTATCCTTGTGTACTTCTGGTCTGTTTTAAGTTGTGGTAAATAGAGCTTAAACAGTTGCTTCCCTACCAGCACTTAGCCCAAACTCAACCTTATCTGTCTTCTAAACCTACAGGTGAAGTGCAAGCCTAAAATGGGTTACATGAAGAAGCAACCTGATATTACAAACAACATGCGGGCTATTCTTGTGGACTGGCTGGTGGAAGTTGGAGAAGAATACAAATTACAGAACGAAACCCTGCACTTAGCTGTAAATTACATTGATAGGTTTCTTTCTTCCATGTCTGTTTTGAGAGGAAAACTTCAGCTTGTGGGTACTGCGGCTATGCTGCTTGCATCGTAAGTGAGATTGCTGAATTTAAAATGCCACCCGCTGGCCTTGTGCAGATGGAATCCCATGGCTATGGCATGTCTGGCTACAGGCAACAGAAATGCTACAGCCATGGGAGGGCTTCACACTAGAAGACACACTGGGAGATGTCCACCTAAAAGCTTGGCAGTTTGTATTAAATTTTTTAAGCAAGGTTCTAGGTTGTCTTTGTAGCTTGCCCTCAGGGGAGGATTCACCATTTCTAGGTGCAGCAGCAGCAGGCTTCTGAACAGTTACTTGTGCATGTTATGCATGCACAAGGCATGTGAAAAGAAAGTTTTGCTTGCACTGAATATTAGTTTCATGGCTTGTTCTGGAATTTCTGTAACTGAGTGCCAGATACCTTAGTGCTAACATATAAGGCTGTTGTAGCTCTGTAATTTTAAGTTCTGCTGATTCAAGAGCTACGGAACCAAATGTGGCAAACTTGTTCAGTAATAGTGCCCAGCTACTTCACAAGTTAGAATTCAAAATAGGATGCTGGCTTTCTTTGTGTGTTGCTGGTTATTTGGCTTTCTAGTATTTGATTATTTGTTCATAACTACTTCTCCTGGCAGGAAGTTTGAAGAAATCTACCCTCCTGAAGTAGCAGAGTTTGTCTACATCACAGATGACACCTACACCAAGAAGCAGGTTCTAAGAATGGAGCACTTAATTTTGAAGGTTTTGTCGTTTGACTTGGCAGCTCCAACAATCAACCAGTTCCTCACTCAGTATTTCCTGCATGAGCAGACAAATGCTAAAGTGGAGAGCCTGTCAATGGTAAATAAGAATTACTAGCTTGACCTGTATTACTAGAAAGTTTTATTATGAATGCACTTTACAATCTCTATTCCCTAGTCCCAGTAGAAAAGATATGCTGAAGGATTCTCCAGCCCAGGTTTCTCTTCCTCCTCCTTTTAAATGTGTAGTCCCTCTGTGAGAACTCTGGAGAGCTTGTGCAGTTTGGTGCGTGCTCCTCCAGCAGTGGTGCCACACCGCTGGAAGTTAATGCTCCTATCGCCATGCTCTGTTTGAAATGCTCCATTCCTGTTGCAGGCTTGTGCTTGCCCAGGTCCAGCATGCCCACTTAATCAGAGCAGGCAGAGACTGAACTTAAATTTAGGGTTTGTTTCACTGCTAGATGTTTCCATCTTTATCTCAAGCTGCCGCACCTACCCACCCACTTTGGCAAAAAAGGACTTGGGCTTTGGTTTCCCCTTTTATAAGCACTGAGCTCTAAATCCAGAGGCCAGTTTCTAAAGCACAGCACAGGTAACATTTCAGCTACAGTTATACTAAATCCTAATTGTGTGGCGGGTACCAGAGCTCCCAGATGGAAACTTTTGTCTCATTAGATAAAGGTCAGACCTGACTGCAGTGTTTCCTCTGGATTTAAAATACCTCTAAATATAAAATGCAGTGCTGAAAAAACATGTGTTGGGAAAGCTTTTTTGACAGTAGTCAACAGTAAATGCTAAAAGAGAAAGTAAGTGGAAACTAGTAAAAGCTGTTCTCCACCTAATAGCAGGATTGGAAGCTTAAACAAGGGTTCTAAGTGCAACTATTAAAGGCTCTTCTACTTCCTTTTGGAAGCAGATGATTCCCCTTTCTCTCATTTCTCTTGCAGTACCTTGGGGAGCTGAGTCTGATTGATGCTGATCCTTACCTGAAATACTTGCCGTCAGTTATTGCTGCTGCAGCGTTTCATCTAGCAGGCTATACGATCACTGGACAAACTTGGGTATGTAACACTGAACCTCAAGCCTTCGCACACCTTTATGTGTGTCTGATATATTGATATGGTCTGAATGCTGGGGCTTGGGCTGCAGGAATCACTGCCTCTCTGCACTCTACGGCTGTTAATTATGGATTGCTACTTGTGGTAACTGAAAAATGGGAGGTACACACTCCCCCTTGGAGTGCTGATGCACTGCATTCTGGCAATCCTCAAAGCTGCAAGCAGCTTGCTTGTGATGAGGAAGTGGGCAGTAAGAAAGCTGAAGCGTTGTAGGCAAGGAATACTTGTTTACAGTATGATAGTTTTCAGGATTACTGTAAATCTACATGAACTGCTAAAAATCTCAGCAGTGAGTATTAAACTAAGTGCTTGAGAAAACAATGCTCTGCCAGCTTACTGGAACAAGAGCTTCACAAGGAAGCTAAAATCTTCACTAGTGCTGTTGGCGTAAGTGAGCAGGAACATTAAAAGTTTCCTTTTTCCATCAGCCTGAATCCTTGTGCAAAGCAACAGGCTACTCCCTCGAAGACATCAAGCCGTGCCTCCTGGACCTACACAAGACCTACCTCAAAGCAGCACAGCACACACAACAGTCCATAAGGGAAAAGTACAAGAGTACAAAGTGAGTATCTGTAGAGATGCATGATGAGTTGGTGTGTATACCCAAGTTATCCTAGCACTTAACTTCGTAATGGGGGGGAGGAGAGGGGTGGGTGTATCTTGAGTATTGAGACTCAACTAACCAAATCTACTCCATCAGCAAGATGGTGACAAGACTCCTCAGGTTTTTGCAGTGTTCTGTTGAGCAGTACTTGGTGTTCACCACCAGGGCTGCTATGGCTAGCTGAACTGTCAGCTAGAAACTGGAGCAATTCTCTTGATGTTCCTACAGTCGGTAGGCAGGAGATGGTACCTGACACTCCTAAAAATCTGTGTCAGCATGACAGCTGACAAGCTGCAAATGTTTCCTGCCTCACGAGCAATGTGCTTTGCTGCAGTACTTACACTGTTCTGTACATCAGAGAGCACTTGAGCAAGATGACATCCTGCATCTTTCTTTTCCCCCCACCTCTAGGTACCATGGAGTATCGCTTATTGACCCACCAGAGACACTAAACTTATTGTAAACAAGAGACTGTTCTTACTATGTATATTACAAGAAAGTTATGTACAGTTCTAAACATGTCTCAAAATTCCAGACGTGATCACTCAGAATATTAATACAGGTTTTCATGATCTTAACTAAGGTTAGTTTTATGTGGTTTTAATGTAAATCTTTTGTACATGCAATCTTGTTAAAATATTTAGCTGGAGTTTTATACAGATGTTCTCTTCAAGCACGGAATTAACCATGCAAAGTCTGACCAAGTGAAGTCTGAGACAGCTTATCTAATTATAGACTCAACATTAATATTAGCAGTGCATTATAATAGTAGGGCTTCACCTCCTGCCAGGTAAGAATGACTTGGACTCCACAGCAGTATTTGTAGCTTTTTTTGTATAGTGTCTAGTTTAAACTGAGACTTAGTCTAGATCCAAAACGTGGTTTAATGGCTGTAATACTGGAAGAAACTGTAGAGCTGTGAGGAGAAAACATTGCTGGAATTGACTCTGGTGAGACACGTTAGGATGTGCCAGGCCCTGGAAGTCTTTATTGCTGTGTAATGTAATGTCAGATCTCCATCAGGTTAAAGTTTGAACGCTCAGCTGCAGGGACTGCACAGCTAGAACTGTTACATCAGGTCACACTTCTCTCTTCCAGTAGAAAATGGTCTTACAATAGGTATTTTTTGAGTCAAACTGTAAAATTGATAGTAATTTAAACTCACGGTGTTCCCATTGCTGTGTTAGCTGTCCTGAAAGCCCATTAATATCTATTAAAATTAGTCATTGGTCTGTTTACTGAGTGCCTCTGTAGGGGCAGTGGAGGGATTAAACTGCAGGAGGGTGAAGTACTGCTCCATGCCCTCAAGAGGAGGGGATGTTTTCTGGTGTGGATGGGCTGTGTATGGAATGGTACCATTTCTGTGCACCTCTCTTGCTTGGAAAGGAATGTTCCCCTGTGACACGCAGCAAAAATGTAGGCCAGCTGGTCTTACTTTTCCTTAGTTCTGGAACTGCTACAGGAGCAAACTAGCCTCTAATTGGCATTAGATCAAGTGGATGTTTACGTTCAACCTGTGTAAATTGAGTGGTGCTGTCCTGTCTGTGCTGTTCTTTGTGTAAACCAGTGAGTGCATGGAAGTGGGTTAACTGAGCCATTTCCAGGTTGGCTAATAAAGCTTTTTTACATCTGACATTAGTGGTCTTGCCAATACCTTAAATCCAGTGAGGGGAAATGCTACCATCTTAAACTGGCATTCATTGCTAAAGCTTTTTGGCAAGGGCTGCCCTGTGAAACCTGCGCCACTTGAACCTGAAGTTGATTCTACACTGTCTGGTGTAGGTGCTGGGATAAACTCTTCACAGCTGTTATGGTGTGGGCTATTGAAAAGAAATGTTAAATGATCATCATCTCTGTCAAAGCTGACAAGCACATGTTACAGTGATACAACTTGCATGTCTCAACTTGAGAACTAAAAACTTGCAGTTCTGCCCCCACCCCTGTGCTGCAGTCTAAGCCCTCCACAAACCAGCTCGGTTACAAAACTGACCCAAGTGACGGTGGCTTTTCTGGTCATGATAAAAGAATACAGCAGAAGCTGCCTTTTTTTGGCCAGCCTGAGATTTGAAGGATGCACTTTGACTTTTAAAATGTTCTAATGTTTAATGAACTATGTTTCATTGGTCTACCATGTTTTCCAATAGCCTTTCAGTTTAATTTCAGTAGGTTGCCACTGAAAGGCTAAAACCAGTTGTGAGAAAAACATGCAGTAGATCCTGTGTGGTGCTCGGTGTTAGAAATGCTGTAACCTTGCAGGAGAGGAAGTCTGTGTAGGCAGGAATGTGTTCGCCAGAGTTTGCAACCTTGGAAGGGCAACTCAAAACACTGACTGGCCGTTATTCTTTGAAGGTGACAGAGCACAGCACTCTTCGTGGGGAAACTACTGGGTTCTACCTTCCCCCTTGTTCCCATATTAGTGGAAACTTTCCAAGACAACTGACAGCTATGAACATTGGAAGAGGAGTAATTCAAAGGAAGCTAATCAATTCTTTTTCCCAGAAAAGAGCAGTAGCAGTACTTCAATGACAGGGCCTCAGTGGTGTGTAGTATTTATTACTGCTTACTGAAACGCCTCTTTGCTCCATTTTCAATGGAAGCTGTTCCCGTAGCACAAAGAAATGTGCTCCCTTGTTCCTGAGCTTTATTTTCAAGCATACCACTAAGACTTACTCTAGAGCCTAAAAAAACACTTCAGCCATGGGCTGGTATCTCTGCCTCCCTCCTTACTGGCAGCTTTTGCAGCTGCAGCAAGCACCATCCTTTCCCACCCTCTTAATTTTTGAAGTTAATATGGGATGATTCCAGCTCTTGCTCTTAAGCTTGGAACAAAATACCCCACGTTGTACTGTACTATTGTTTTGCTTATCCAGTTTAATGCCTCCTGGTCCCTTCAACGTAAAGCCTCTAAGGAATGTAGGGTATGAGATGTTGTGTATGAAGAGAAACAGCAGTACAAAGAAGTTTAAGGTCTTGTGGTACTGCAGAACGAAGAAGAAACTGAACCTTCCCTCATTCCTATACTCCCAACAGCAACTTTGGGTTGGAAGAACCAAAAGGAGGAAAAGGCAGGGTTTAACTCCTGGAGGAACGGGGCTTTCTAGTTTGGTCCCTTTCTGGAAGAGCACAAGGAGGAATAAAGCTCTACCTGGCCAGGAAGTATTCCTTTTTATTCTTAAAATGAAATTCTAAACCTGATTTAGGGAATGTAATATCTGCAACAGTGGATTAGCTCCTGTTTCTACGTCATGAAGTGCTAAAGTCACATGTAAAATAGTCCTACTTTGCTCTTGTAAATGTGTGCATGTTTCCAGTTTGACTTGGTTTTTGAGCAAAGGTCGGATATGTTGGAAACTTTGCTGTCTCTGTTTTGCCCAATTTACAGCCAGAGCAGAATTCTTTGAATAGAGGTCAAGAAGCATTCCTGTCTGACACATGTAATAATTAATTAAACTTTTTAAGAAACTCCGTTGCTGAAGTACGATTTGCTTCTCTATGAAGGCTGTGGGGAAGTCTGATGTTGTGTTGTTAACTGTCTGCAGTTGTTAGTTTGATTTTAGCTTTTATTTTTTTTAATACAATTCAGTGAAAGGTAAGATACAGAGTGATGTGACATGGGCATTTAGGACTTGGCCACAGCATGCCATTTACCCTGTGAAGAACGTGGCAAAGTCCAAAACACTGCCAAAAAGTGACAATAGCTGCCACTCCTGTGGGGAGTTTTAACTATGAATCTGACAATTTTAAGGAAAAATGAACCCACACCTTGTGAACAAAACTTGTGGCTGCATGGCAACAAAACCCAGAAACCATTCCGGAACAATGGAAACCCCCAGATAGTGGGGCAGCCTGTGAGGAGTTCTTAAATGACGTTTTTACCAGAATACGGAGATCTAAGACTATAGGATGGTGTTCCCATGATGAACAAGGAAAGAAAAATGCAAGTCAAAGGATCATGGAATGGAAATATAACGAGATCAGTCTGATTAAAAAGAAGCGATGCAAAGAGGGACTGTGTGGGGTGGACTATGACCATTTTATTTCCATTTCAATGCATGGCTAAGGCACCTTGATGTGTTACATGGGATGGAATGACTTGCAACCTGACCAAATGGAAAGGACGGGAGTAGTGGGGTCGCGCCGGTGCCGGGAGCCGGTGGGGCTGCAGGGCTGGGCCGGAGCGTGGCGGGCTCCTGGTGGCCTACGGCG